ATTAGTTACGTCGCTAGGCACTCCTTTTAGAGTAACAGTGGGTAGATACCCCCGTTTGGTAAAAAAAAGAAAAAAAAAAGTTTCAAAACAGGTTTCCTGAAATTAAGCAAGCAAATTAATGGGTCCTCACGTGGTTGGCTTCGATGGTTAGGATCAAGCCAATGAAAGGAAGATAAATTTAGGCGCACGCACGCACATGCATGCTTAAGCGAAACCCAACAGTGGCATGTGTCTTCTTACTTATAAGCCAATTGCATTAAATAATCGCAGCCTAAAGCAATTAGTGAGTTTCTCCATAGCCCCCGCATGAGAAGTTTGGGGGCGATTTTGAATCTTTTGTTCAATATTTATAGTATATTTGATAGTTTTGGTTGGTAAGAATGTTAGTAGGGGTGTAGGTGAGTTAAGCTTGAAAAATGGCTCTTGAGCTGAGCACAATGGGCTAATGAGCTAAGTTTGAGCTAGACCCGACTTAGACTGGTTAGCTTGTGTGAGATGACTTGTTTAAAAGATATTATTCTAAAATACACATCAAATGAATTGGCATTTAGGAATTTAAGTATAATGTTGTTAAAATATTTAAAAATTATATCAAACTTCTTTATATATTATCTCTCTTTTAATTTATCATTTTTTTTTTATAATAAGTCCTTGAAGTATAATTATTTTTTCTTTCATGATAAACAAGTGAGCTCGTGTGCCAACTAAAAGATACATCTGCCTCATAGTAAGCCTCCATAGCTTCCATTCATGTGTCAGGATTGAACTTAGGGGTGTAATTGAGCTGAGCCGGCTCAATCATGACTTGTTAACGAGCTCACGAGTCTAGCTTATCGAGCCGTGAGTTTGAGCTCGAGCCTACACTCTTGCTCGTATATTAAATGAGTTTGAGCTAGAGCTCAAGCCTGACTTTGCTCGAAAGCTCTTTCAACTGAGCGATTAAACTAAAATATATTTAATAATTAATTTAAAATAGCATTATATAATATATTTTTAATAATTTTAAATTAATTTTATATTATAAAATAGAAATTCTAAAAAAATAAAAATTTAAACAAAAAACTAAGAAGATCTCAACAATCGAGTTGAGCTTGAGCAAGTGAGTTGAGTTTACGCAATCGAGTCGAGCTTGAGCCTATAAATTTTTTAACGATTCAAACTCGAATTTCGTAAACGAGCTTGAGCCTATATTTTTTCTACATATTTTGATATATCATATGCATATTGCCTTTTTAGCAATAAGTAATATTATGATCCTCACAACTATTATTTTTTGATTGTTTGACATTATATCTATTAATGCTTACAATCATTTTATGAACTTCCTACCATTTACTTGTATATTTATGCTTAGATGGGTAAGTTGCATAATCAACTTGATGAGCTTGAGCTACTAATATGAATGGCTCATAACCTATACTTCTCCATCTATATTTAATTTAAATAAGATCATGATGATCAACATGGAATCCTCTTGTAGATGTATCATATAAATCAAATTTGAATTATACCACACTATACCCATTATAATCAAAGGTAATAACTTTTCATAGCATTGAATGTTGCACATGATGTAGAAATGTTACAGTCAAGAACAGAGAGATAGCTGACGGGAGGAGGAAGAAGAAGTTAATATTAACGGTCCTTAACACATGAGCTAATTGTATTATGTTATGGTTGATGTTTGTATTCCTCTTGACCCTAAAAATAAGTTGTTAGTCAAAGTTTATCATGCAATAAAAATATTATGCTCCATTAACATACCACTTTGTAAATTCTTTTTCAATAGAACATCAAGTTGTGAATTTATCAAATTGAGTGCTTCAATTAACTTGGTCATTTCGAATCTCAAGTGTTAATAAAAAGAAAATTTGATATATACTGCAATCTTAGAAAAAAATGCTTCAAATTTTTTATTATGGGCTTTGTTTTTTTCATTTTTATTAAGATTTTGTTCGGGATAACTTTCATATTGATTTCTAAAGCAGCTTTTTAGTACAAAGATTTCTAGTTCAAAAAATTTATATACTAAAAAGCTGCTTTAAAAATCAATAAGAAAGCTATCCAAAACTAAACCTAAGTTTGATGTTGTTTAACAATATGAATCGTAGTTTCTTCAATTTTTTTATCATCAAGTGCCATCTTGATTCATGCTTAAGCGAGATGGAACTAGTAGAAGAGCTCTCTTTGATCACATTGGTACCTAATTGAGATGTAAATTAATAGCTTGAATATGTTGCATTTGATTTATAGATTAATACTTGATTTGATGGGAGGAAAAACAAGATCATTGTATGATAGCAGTTGTTCACATAAATTGATGATGTTGTTCTAAGAGGGGTTGTTAAAACATACCATCTACATGCAAGAAATCAAGCTAAAAGAGTAAAGATTGATCTTGATGATCTCTCCTTCCTCTTAGCCTCACACACAACCAATTCAGTGGAAATGAGGACAACCCCAAACTAGGAAAGTCATGGGTCTTAATAATAGTAAAGATCCATTATTTTGTAAGAAAATTAGTACTTTTGTGGTATATTTCTTTCCACTTAGAGGAATTTCAATACAAGATGCATGTTGAGTAATTAAAAAAGGTGGATTCTAATTTATGAATTTGCCTCCATGTTTAGGTTGTAAATGCAATGCTATAATTAAGATTAACAACTTTTAATCTCTCGTAGCTGAAAAAATGGATACTAATAGATAGCTTGGACTTGCTCGCACTCTCTAATGATTTTTCTCTTTAAGTTCTTTTTCATGAAATACTTTTATATGATTTAAAATGGAACCATATTTCAACAAGTCTTTTTTTATTATGTTGATGACTTAGGCTTCGTTTGGGACGGCTATTTTATTGCTTCTTAAAGCAGCTTTCTAGTTTAAAAATTAAAATTTTTATATTAGAAAGCTGCTTTAAGATGCAGTAAGAAAGTCGCCACAAACGAAGCCTTATTGGCTTTTGTTCATGCCAATAGGAGCTTCATTCAATCTTTTCTATGACTTTCTTCTACTTTTTTTTTTGTCATATGGGATAATACTAATAATAATTAGTATGAGATATTTTTCCTTTCAAAATTGTCACCTCCTACACTTACCTTTGCAATATTTTAATGTAATGATGCCTATGGGTCCATTTGGAATTGTTTCTCTAATATGAACCCCTACTTTTGGAAAGAGCTTCAACCCATAGCTTCCAAAATGTATTTACTTTATAACCCAACACTTAAACAATTTCAAGTACCTTAACACTTTTAGAAGAATTCCCTTTATTTCTAAAATATATAGGCCTTTCTAGAATGAGAAAGAGAGCATTTTACATGATCTAAATATATGTATCGTTTAAAATCTCCTAATATTCTCTTGAATATTCTATTTATAACAAGATGGCTTGTCTAAAAGGTCTTAAAATGACTAATAATCTAAGGGCTAGTGTGATCATTTTAAATGGTAAATGTGTTTTTTTTTTTATAACTTTGTTGTTGAAGATTACTCTCATTTGTCTTTTTAATGTTCTTATTTAATGTGGTTGATTAGGAATTCTATTCATGATGGTTAGCTTACTAATTTACTCGAATCATAAGCATTTCATTAATTTTAATATAATAACGAGTGTCTTAAAATGTTATTAGAGTTATAAAATAGGGTTGTAAACGAATTGAGCCGAGCTAAGCTCGGTTATCAAAAGCTTGCTTTGATTTTGATAAATCTTGCTTGCTCAAACAATTCTTTGGAAAGTAAATGTCCCTTATTGAGCCGAGCATGTTGAGCTTAGAAAATGAAATTTTAATTTAACAAAACTTTTATAATGTGGGAAATAATATTGTTAAATAATTTTAAAAGCTTTTTTATACCCTTCTAAGCTACAAGTTCACATAATTGAACTTTGCACTATAATGTTGTCCTTTAAAGTTTATAAATACTACTATTTTAAACGTGTAAATGATGTAGGACTAAATAACTATTTTACCTTCATAAAAGTGGTTGTTTAACAATTAAAACCTAAGGGATTGTTTTGGGTAAATGAATATTATTAATATTAACTAAAGGTTAAAGTGGACTCTTATATACACATTAGTAATATTAATTAATTTATAAATTTTTAATTAATTAATAATTAGGATAAATAAATATTAGTATGAATATTCTTCTATACTAATTATGAAAAATTCAAATAAATTTTAAAAAAATATTATACTAATCTTTAATCGAGCTTCTTAATGAATTTATTTGTCTTCCTGTCCGAAAATGCCTTCTCCATCAAAAGCGTCATGTTCAAAAGCTTACTCTGCGAGGCCATATTAAATTCTTCCTGCTATATAGCAATATCAAAAAACAGCTTTTTTATAATAATTTTAGTTTACCGACTGTTATAGCCTCTTCAGCTGCTTTGCTCACCCACGTTTCAAGAAATGGCGGAACGAATGCAGGAGGACGTGCGGCTTGTTGGTGAGGTCCGTTTGAATTAATGAGAGGGAGGTAAGGCGTGAGGCTCTATTAGCATGCAAGAGGAAGAGTCGGGTCTTCTTTGGGTTCTGCTTATAGGCAAATGCAAGATCCAGGCGGAGGAGAAATCGGAAAAGAAGCTGGGTTTGGCTTCCTTCTGCAACGTCGGGTTTCATTTCGGCGGAGAATGGGACTCGTCTAATCGGCCGACTAGTGCAGAAATCGCAAGCGGGTGCCGTAGTTGGAGGTGGTTTTGCTTTTGTGATTGTATGTAGATTTGAGATTCACCCTTAACTGTGGGTCATTCAGTTCTGAAATGTTTTTCTGATTGCTTTTTGAACGAGAATGCCACAACTCGCAAAGGGGAACCGAACACGATTTGTGCGCGAATGACTGGGAGACTGCCGCCATTGTCGCAGGGAGACGGAAGATGTGATTTTCTAACGCTATATTAATGGAGTGTTAGAAATGATGCAAAAGAGAGTTTTAAGTGGTATGTAAGTAAATATAATAGTTTAGGTGTTAGATATGTAATTTGAATTGTTTTAAGTATTATGTATGTAAAAATCCCTAAATAAAAATAACATACATTTATAGACATTGGACAGACAGTAACTCTTTTAATTTTGGAGGCCACTCACAGTAACTCATTTTACACAGACAAAACTTCTATCGAAGGAACAGAAAATACACGCAATTCACACCGTCCTCTCTCTCTCTCTCTCTCTCTCTAGAACATCTCCTCCCTCTCTGTGTCGGCTGCGAAAGTACCAGGATGACCTCCATCGTCTCCCACCTATACACGGCCAAATTCTGAACTCGCGCGGCGACGGCGAGCCCATAGACTGATTATTCTGCTGCGCTATTTCATACCGGAAGCACACAAACACACCAACAGCACAGAAACAGAGTCGAATCAGAGGAAACCCTGCAAGCCATAGCAGCCGATGCTCAGAACATTTTCTTCCCATGGCGAACAAATTAAGACTATTTCACAGCCGTCCGAGATCAGGCGACGACGGCACTCATGGTGTATTCTTGATCAAGGTCGTACCGCAGCTTCCCTGATTGGCTCTGCTCCAACCCAGTTCACAATTTCCACACATCAAACGGAAGAAACGGATGGGTATTGAGAGAAAGAGGAAAGATCAGGGAGAAACAGGGGTACCTCCAAAACGATCTGGGCGATGCGGGAACCCTCGAGGAGATGATCGCGGGAGGGCGAGCAATCGGGAGGGGTTTCGAAGAGGGAGAGGGAGAATTGCTTGTAGATGACGCCGACGTCAAAGTAGATGAGGCCTGAGCTGGGAATATCGACGCGGATGCCTCGTACGGGGAACCAGAGGAAGAGTTCCTGGGCGGAGAGGCCGGAGATGGCGGTGATCTGGCCGTAGGTGACTGTGCAGGTGATGTTGCGGGCGTAGTGGACCTCCGTCTCGAATTTAGCCGTGCACTCTTCCTCCAAATGCACCTCGAAGCGGCCTTCTTCATCGAGGTGGAATTCGCGTACGCCCTTAGGGAAGAGGCCGCTCGGAAGACCATGCTGCCGTAGAACCTCGTAAGCGGTCGTCGCCGGAGCTTCCTCCGCCGCTTCTTTCGCCGTAGCGGCGACTAATATGAGAGGAATGAGTGTGAAGAGAAGGGGAAGAGGTCGTCGACCGATCATACTCGCCGTCTTTGTCTCCCGCTCAAATCGCGGAGAAAAAGGCTCACGGGTTGAAGAAATTTAGAGAGAGAAAGAAAAGAACTCTAGAGAGAGAGAAAAAAGAATTCTAGGGAGATAGAGAGAGAAAGCCGGAGAAGGAGGGTGGCAGGAGCTGAGGGCAATTATTAATGAGCTGGTGGTGGGGACGGCCCAGAAAGGGGCCGATCTCCACTCTATGTCTCTGCTTAATTAAATATGAAAATTTTTTGGCTAAAAACAATTTTTAAATTATTAAATTTATTTTAAATCAATCAAATTAATATCATTAATTAAATATAGTATGAAATTATCTGAAAATTTCCATATATATTTTAATAATTTTTGATATTTTAGAAATAAAATAATTTGAATTAATTTTAGCCCTTCATAGGGCAAGAATGCAACACTTGAAAATTCAAAATATTTTGACCAACTTATGATGCACGTCGAGGAGGTGACTGGGTGTTGTGGATGTGTTGTTGTATAACAATAATAATAACACAAGTATACGTATCGATCGAGTAATAAAATATACAAGACAGTGTCGATTCTACGAAGAAATATTGTGTCACAACTGGTTCTAGTACTGTCTACTCAAGTTAATGAATCTATTATATGCAATGAAATAAAGGGTAATTAATGATCCTAATGAGAAATGTAGAAATTAGTGAAGATAACTAGAATTAAATGTGTTTTGGACTAATCACAATGAATAATCCTATGTTCTTTTAAGCAGACTCATAATTAATGATCCCACTAAGAAATATAGAAATTAGTAAAGATAACCAGAATTAAATGTGTTTTGAACGAATGACAGTGAATACTATGTTCCCCTAAGCATATTCATTTATACTAGTTGTGAATCAGAGCATTTGCACCATTAGATCACTATTGACCTTGTAAGCTAGGATGTAAATAAAGGTTTATGATCTCTCTACAATGATTCTATCTTCATAGATCATAGAATACTAAATATCATATGTCTAAGCATGCTAACATTCCTCCGTCGAGGTAATGTATCACACTTGATTTTAAATTCATACATAGCTATTGTACAAATTAAATTAAATAAAACAAAAATTGAGAACAACAATTCATAATTACATACAAAAGTTTACATTATGACATACAAAGGTATTCACATCATAAGTCCAAAACTAAGAGTTATCCAGCCATAGAATTAAAGTGGAACAAAATAATTTTTATTTCTTGCGTAAGAAAAGGTACAAACAAAAAAAAGAAGAAAATAGCACCCGGATTAGAGAATACCAAATAAATCTTATAGATGGAGTCTCCCCAGAGTGAATCCCTCCTTACACCTTCTCTCTCCACACTCTTTTCCACTCCTAAATGATGTTTTGCTCACTACAATGCCAACTAGCTACTCCACCGAATGTATCTCACTAACCTTTGGTCTTTCTCACAGCACGCTATCAGGACTTTAATTAGACTAACTAAAGAAAAGCACAAAAAATTATTTATATTTTACAAAAAAAAGACTCAGGCTCATTGATGCTTGATAGGGTAGCACCGCGATATTAAAATATGACCTAACACATCAACATTGCTAAATTGGCTTAACTACGGCGTTTAGCTGACCCAGTTAGGGCTACAAACGAACTGAGCCGAGCTGATTATGTGAGTGTTCATGTTTGTGTTCATTTAATATCAACTTGTTCAAGTTTGATTCATGTTTGTTCGAGCTTTATTTTTTGTGTTCATGTTTGGTTCATTTAAATTAATGAGTGTTCGAGCTTTATTGTTCGGTTCATGTTCAGTTCAAATTCGTTCGTTTAGTGCTTATCGGGCTTGTTCGCGAACATATTTAACGAATTTTTTTTAACTATCAAACAAACACGTTCATGAACACATATACATATCTATGAATAAACACATTTATAATAAAAGCAATTGTCTATCGACACGACGCTTCAAAATCGAACACGAATCGAGCTTCTTATCGAGCTTAATGTCGAGCTTGTTCACGAACTTCAAATGATGTTGTTCGCGAACATAAATGAGCCGAACGCATTAGTGTTCAAGTTTGTTTATTTAAGAATCGAGTATTTAAAATATTGTTCAAGTTTGTTTGTTTAGTTAATTAAACGATCACAAACGAGCTTTAATCGAACCGAACAACGAGTAGCTCGTCGAACGTTTGGTTCGCTTGCAGCCCTAGTCCCAGTGCAATAATTAACTGATATGGTGCAATAATTGGCTCTTGACACGACGCTTCCTTCTGTTGCTCCATCACAACACGAAACAAAGATGGGTGTTGTGGCCCTTCATCTATCATATAGTTTTGTGGTGCTCTTGAGGTTGGCCCTTTGGTGTTGAATTATTTGTAATTTTTTTATGCTTTATTGCTACAATGTTCCTCTAATGGCACTGAGCTCTATGATGTTTGGTATGACATTTATTAATTCCATTTGGTGTTGAATTATTTGCAATAATTTCTAATGCTTTAGCGCTATAATGTTCTTCTGATGGACTGAGCCGTTGGGTGGCTCTACGATGATGGGTAGCACTGCGATGCAGATATTTTTTTTATCAGGGTTTTAAATTAATTATGATTTTTCTTGTGGCTCTTGTGCTGGAATGTCCAATTTTGGTACATAGGTGTTGAAGACATTGCAACGCTGATGTTTGGGGCACTCTGACGTTGGATCTTAACTTTATGAATTTTTTATTTTTCTGAGACATTCTTGCATAATATAAGCTAAAACATACATTTTTACTGAAATTTAATATAATAAAAATGAATATGATTTTCACTTGATGAGAGATCCTTGGAAAGACCCTTAAGAAAGTCTTCTTATGAGCAACCTCTATTTAAGCAACTCTTAATCCTCCTTAGGGAACTTATGAACTCAACTACTTGAATCCCCTTGAGAATGCCTCATGTAGCTTTGATGGCTTAGCGCCCTTCAATCTAGCAACCATAATTTCTACCCAGTTGAACATGAACTAATATATACAAGGAACTTACCACATATTTTTAACATTTCCTTAGTTTCATCACCTCACTAGCTAATGCCATCCATGCACTTTAATGAGAAACAATTCATCCATTCCAAATTAATCAACAATATAAGAGTTCAATTATGTGATAGCTTCAAGTTCAACACTTGGTTTAACCTGTTTTGATCTGATTTGAAAAAGGCAAATTGTTGAACTTTTATATTTTGAACTCTTTTATATGTATTTGAAAGCATTTTGTGTGTATAAAAAAAGGTCTGCATTTATTTTGGAGTGAATTCCATGGATTTGAATGCATATTGATGAAATCTGAAATTTTTTCCATGGAGCGCCTATGTGTTGGGTGTTTTGACACCTTGGCACTGTAAAAATAATGGTGCATAGGTCTTGAATAGTGACATTATGATGTTGTAATCATGAGTTTTTTAAATTTAAACTAGTGTAGTGATGCTCAAACAGTGATGCCTAAAGGTTTTTTTTTATAATTAAATATAATATTTTCCACTATTCCATCGACTTGGCGTTTTGGAAACCAAAGGAGAGAGATAGGGAAAGGGATTTTGGAGAGAGCTAGAGGTTTTTTTTTTCTGCTTCAAGTCATTTTTTAGCCTTCGGCCTAGTTCAAATAGTTGGCCGGATAGAGGTAGGTCGCATTATGATTTTCTTTGTTTTTAAAAATAAAGAGATTTCTTAAAAATTTTAATTAAATTTATATTTTTGTTACTGAAAAATAAGAATAATTTTACAGCGTAAAATTTTCATAGTGTAACTTTTTATATATTATAGATATTGAGATTCTGAATATTTTTTAGAAATTTTACATTAAAGGTTTTTAAATTTTTGAAATTTTTATTGAATAAAAAATAAACCATACTCTAAAAATAGTGTTAAATTATGATTAAAGTCCTGAAATTATGTTTTAAATAATCTCTGGTAATTTAGTTATATTTTGAAACTATAAATGTTTACATATAAGGCATTTTTACTGCCTACTATTATAGAAAATTATATAATTTTGATATGAGTTTAATTATGCTTTAATTGCTATAATATAATGAAATATTTATTTGTGTGATTGAAGTATGTGCATTATTAGTTGAATTATTAAAGAACAAGATATCCTGGTGTTCATAAGGCATATTTTTGTGACTAAAAAGTCATATTCTTATGCCTATAAGCCATATTCTAGTGGCTATTAGCTTTGTTCTAGTGCGTATATACATGTTCTGGTGTTATAAGCATATTGGGAGTCATAAATGACCAGAATCCTTTAAGATTCTATCTTGGATCGACGAACTCTATTATGTTCTATTCTGTGACATAGATTTTAGTTTATTTAACTACTATGCACATTGATTTAGTATATCCAATTTAAATATTCTAAAAAAAATTTAATAAAGGAATATTTAAAAATTTAGATTGGTGTTTGTGGCCTACTAAACTGTCTTAGCTCACAGTGATTTGTATTCTATTTTTTAAAGTTTGAGAAAGGGAATAATCCGATTGAGTAGCTATTCATGATTATATATGAGTTTATTGGTACCTTTTTGTTGATTTTTCACCGTCATGGCTATTTTACTTATACCCATGTACTGTGATTGCATATGCCACTTTGATAATAAAATGAATGAGATTTTATGGATGAGTTTATTTCAATACTCTTGATAATTTACTATATCTATAATATTTTGTTTTTTTTTTAATTTTAAATTGGAAGATGAAATTTGAAATATTTTTAAAATTAGATATTGTGATTCTCCTGTCCTAGCTCAATATGATAGGACCTTCCCATCAGTGAGTCTTATGATTTAGTTTGTAACAAGCATATATGATTTAGAGCTATCATTTTAGAAAAGTCTTGATCATAAAACATAGCTATAAGAATTGATTTATAAGTTAAGTGGGATAATGTTGAGTCTATCTTAGCATCCATTCTTATTTCTTTTCATGTGAATGTGGGTTAAGCTATATATTCAGTGTGATTATAGATCTATAAGACCCAAACATGACAGATAGACAGAGTGCTAGTCATGTAGCTCCTATACATAAACTATTTTGACAGTGAGTTCTAATATAGTTTCACAATTTGCTAGTCTGATAACCTATATGATGGTAAGGCACATAGAAGAGTTCATGCTATTAGATTTAATGAGGTAGGTCTATATTTACATATATTTTT